GCGCCTCCCGCATTATCTTGGTGAAGGCGAGCATCGAGGATCCATGGATCCAGCCACAAAGCAGAACACAGAACTGAGCTCACAGAGCAGATGTGCATGCCATTCCCAATTTGATGCATACTTGAACACCTGGTCCTGCTTGCAGGCGCGCGGGAATAGCCGCGACTGAATATGCTCTCCACTCCGTGGATCTGAGATAAGCTTGGCAGAACAGGAAAGCCCATTGACAATGCGAGCTCTATTGGGGCAAGCCACCTGCCAATATCGCTTCGCCATGATAACCCCATTGACCTCTTCAATGTGTGCAAAGGACCGTGCAAAGACGAGTGTACGGGTTTTTTACTGGATTGCGCGAGGTCCCAACAACATCCTCCTGTGCGAAACCTGTGACGAGCATACTCTAGATGCTTCCTCTCGGACGGCCCCAAGAGGCGTTCCCATGAATCCGGTGGATCGCCCCAAGCATCATGTTCCCTGAAACGTTTCAGGAAACCTGGTCTTGTTTGTGCCCATTCCTGTTCATCCACCAACTCTCCATCTGTAGCTATGCAATACTCACGCGCACTGTACGTCGCCTCGCGAGTAAATAGCATATCAACCAGGTTCGTCAAGCAGATTGTCCTGGCAGGCACGTTCAGACCTTTGAGCTTACCATTGATGTACTGTCGCGGCCTCCTGCTTTGGAAACCTTGCTTGTCAGGATTTGTCACGACCCTGGTAAGGTAGTAGAGGTCACCCAAGGCTCGATCATACTCATCACGCCCCTGCTGCGTCACGCATTCGAAAAACACTTCTGGCTCTAACAAGTCACGGCGCTGCCTGAGAGTAGTCCACAGCACGTGTGCGCCAAGTCCGAGTAGCTTTTCACAGCGCCCGAACATGGAGTCGTGAACGCACGGAACACCAGTGCAGTGGATGTGACACCGACGAATTTTACACATTTTATTGCAGCAAACGCACTTTGCATAAGGGACAGTTGGGTGGCTCATGATCAGTTCCCGGCGACCGTCGACATCTTCTTTCGGCAATCGTGCAAGAGCTTGTCGAACTTCTGGGTCCAAGAACTGAAGGACATCTCGATATAAGTGTCTCGGTTTGGAATGACTTGGAAGCGCCAACAGCTCTGCGCAACATTTTCTATCCTTTTCAACTGCCCACATTGACCCGAAACGTATGTTGAATCGATGACCAATCCCCTGTGCTGCAAGCTCGAAACAGCCAATTCCTGAGCATCCGCTGCTGAGTTCTATGACGTTCTCGCTTCGGCGACTATCGGAGCAGCGGGTGATGAGCGGGCAATCAACGGACAACTTGCTCGCGGTGTCGATAGCATGGTCCAAATATTTGAACGAATCTACAACATCAAGACACTTTCGAACAGCACGATTGTCACCCAGCATGCCAAACTAGAGCCCCAAAAGGGCTACATAGTTGATGGTGAATGATCATGGAAATGCTCACTCTTGGGCATCAAAGGGTCTGAACCCAAAGAGTCTTGACCTCCAACCCTGCCAGGGTCCTAGCCCCAAAGGGATTGACATCCACTCTGGACTCCCAGAGTCTGGACCCCCAGCTGAATCCCCTACCCTCAGAGTCTGGACCCCCAGAGTCTGGACCCCCCAGAGCCTGGACCCCCAGAGTCTGATCTCCCAGAGTCTGGACCCCCAGAGTCTGGACCCTCAGAGTCTGGACCCCCAGAGTCTGGACCCCCAGAGTCTGGACCCCCAGAGTCTGGACCCCCAGAGTCTGGACCCCCAGAGTCTGGACCCCCAGAGTCTGACCTCCCAGAGTCTGGACCCCCAGAGTCTGGACCCCCAGAGTCTGGACCCCCAGAGTCTGGACCCCCAGAGTCTGGACCCTCAGAGTCTGGACTCCCAGAGTCTGGACCATCAGAGTCTGGAACCCCAGAGTCCGGCCCCCCAGAGTCTGGACCCCCAGAGTCTGGACCCCCAGGGTCTGGACCCCCAGAGTCTGGACCCCCAGAGTCTGGACCCCCAGAGTCTGACCCCCCAGAGTCTGGACCCCCAGAGTCTGGACCCCCAGAGTCTGGACCCCCAGAGTCTGGACCCCCAGAGTCTGGACCCTCAGAGTCTGGACTCCCAGAGTCTGGACCATCAGAGTCTGGAACCCCAGAGTCCGGCCCCCCAGAGTCCGGACCCCCAGAGTCTGGACCCCCAGAGTCTGGACCCCCAGAGTCTGGACCCCCAGAGTCTGGACCCTCAGAGTCTGACCCCCCAGAGTCTGGCCCCCCAGAGTCTGCCCCCCCAGAGTCTGGACCCCCAGAGTCTGGACCCCCAGAGTCTGGACCCCCAGAGTCTGACACCCCAGAGTCTGGACCCCCAGAGTCTGACCTCCCAGAGTCTGGACCTCCAGAGTCTCAACCGACAGGGCCCCCAGAGTCTGGACCCTCAGAGTCTGGACCCCCAGAGTCTGGACCCCCAGAGTCTGGACCCTCAGAGTCTGACCTCCCAGAGTCTGGACCCCCAGAGTCTGGACCCCCAGAGTGTCTGACCTCCCAGAGTCTGGACCCCTAGAGTATGGACCCTCCCAGTCGTAACTCCTGGGCTCGTTGGGTGTTTTGGAGGGTATGTTGGTGGTATATTTGTGCTTATTTGGCGTTTCTGATCATATTTTGAATAGTCACATGGGTCCCTGACATGCGGCTGTGGGTCGTGTTTTAGCTTTCTGGAGCCTCTCAGGGAATCTGAAATGGTCATATTGGGTGTCTGCGTTACCCTTCTTGGGATCTAATTGAGGCGTCTTAGAGGCTTCGTTGGAATGAGTTCGGGCATCGCTTGAGCCTCAAACAGGTGTATATTTCGCGTTTGATGACGACTTGTGGAGACCGTTCAGTGGCTTATTGGTTGCCTCTTAAGTCTTCATGCGGCTATGCGTTGCATCTAAATTCCTCGCCAGGCTTGATTACAACAACAAAGTCGACACGATGTTGTCACGAAACATCTTTCGCGTCGTGTCTGTATGGGTTATCTTCTAGACCGATGTGATGTTTCTCGGAACAAGGTAAGGGCCGATTGGGGTCCTTTGTGGTGCCTGTGAGAGGCTGCTGAGAGGCCGCTGTGGAGTCTCTTAGGGGTATGTCTTGGGCCGTCGTGGGCCGTTCATGCCCTGCTTCAGGCGTCTAGCACGTCTCAGACAAAGTATTTTCCATCCGACTGTTCCTCCTCATCGTCTATCTCATGCTGGCACCGGAGACCCGGGGTCGCCTTCATCCACGTCGGTGACGATCACCATTCCGTCGAAGTCGCGGCCCGGCTGTGGCTGGAGCGGCCCTGGCTGGTCGAATAGCTCGGGCCACGAGGAGCAGCAGGGTAGGGAGGATCGGGAGGAAGGCTTCAACACAGCTACAGTCAATCCGTATAGTAAGGATGCACGGCGATGATGCGAGGGTTTTTTTTTCGGGGTTCTTTTCAATATTTCAAGATGCCAAACCGTTTAATCAATTGGCGGAATGCAACATGTATATACCTGTATGGATGCAACAGTAGCTTTGGAGCAGTCGGACATTCTTACTATGCGGATTGATTTCGCTGCATGGGCTGAGACATCTTCACTGTGTAACTGCTTGATACGTGTACAACCACGCCCACGAGACAGCCTGTCAGAGCCCAAACACCGTCAAGAGGCCTCCAAGGGGACCGACACCCAGATAAATCAGTGATCTATTTATTTCAGGCTCATGGCCCCTTGAGCCCTTCAGGGCTCAAGGGGCCATGAGAGGCGTCCACGCGGAGCCCTCAGGAGTCCTTCAGGGGCCCTGAGAGGCCCAGGCCCTGTCTCACGTGAGCCATCTGAGGCTCACATGGCCCCTTGAGCCCAGGAGGGCCTTTGCCCACGTGGAGCCCTCAGGAGTCCTTTAGGGGCCCTGAGAGGCCCAGGCCCTGTTTCATGCGAGCCATCTGAGGCTCGCATGGCCCCTTGAACCCAGGAGGGCCCTTGCCCACATGGAGCCCTCAGGAGTCCTTTAGGGGCCCTGAGAGGCCCAGGCCCTGTCTCACGTGAGCCATCTGAGGCTCACGTGGCCCCTTGAGCCCAGGAGGGCCCTTGCCCACATGGAGCCCTCAGGAGTCCTTTAGGGGCCCTGAGAGGCCCAGGCCCTGTCTCACATGAGCCATCTGAGGCTCGCATGGCCCCTTGAACCCAGGAGGGCCCTTGCCCACATGGAGCCCTCAGGAGTCCACGTGGATCCCTCAGCGGGTGGCCAAGGCCCCTGAGGCCCACCGCGGTCTTCGGAAGGCGGAATGGGCCGAAGGCTTCGGGAACATCTTCGTGCAGACCATAATGTGAAGTGCGAATGTGAAGTGCGAATGACAACTCGTCCAGACCAGAATGTGAAGTGCGAATCGTGATTATCTAGCGGCCTTCTGAACATCCCGCAGAGATCATCCAGACCAGAACTCGAAGTGCGAAGCGTGATTATCTTTGCAACCCTGGAACTCTGCGGTCCCAGATCGTCATGAGAGGTCGACATACGTCGCGCTGCGCTCCAGCGAGTAATGCACGGCGCAAAATCCATCACTGATCTTCAGCAAAAGGATCGCTGCAGCATTTGAGCGAGCACAGGTAGCACAAGCCACCGTCAGGCCACCTCCACTTGTCTAGAGAGGCAGCGAACAGCTGGTTGAATTTTGCACGAATGCTAATTGGAAACTCGTCCCTGAGGAGTTCAGGGAACTCGTTGCAAAAAATTGGAATGCTGTCAGAGAGTGCTGCGTATTCATCCTCGTAGTCGGTGCCGTCCTGGGCCATAATTCTGTCGAGGACGTGAGCTGAGCACAATTTATGCCAGGGAAGGTGACACATGAAACACGTCCTGGCAATAGATCCATCAGTGTATTCAATTTGCTTGCATTTGATACAGTGCTTAGCGCCACCAGTAGGAGCGTCATCAACGATAGCGAACAAGAGATTGACCGTAGAACGAAACCTCAGCATGCGCTCATCAATAGTAACGCCACCGGAGCGGCGTACCACCCTAGTACCGATGTCGTTCACCAGCATCTGAGTCTTACCGCTGGCGAGCCGATCCACCATGTGCGTCTGGTATTTCTTATCCTTCCCAGGAGGTCTGTATGGTATGCGTTCATTCTCATCGAGGTCACACAATCGGCCAACGACTTTGGGAATGTCCCACCTGATGAACTCAGTTGAGTGCGTACCAACAGCGGCATCAATATTCACAATCAGCGAAACGCTATTGACATCAAGCGGGTCCCTGTCGCTATCGGATGCGAACTCAATGCCAAAGACAGTCAGGGCCAGCCCAGTAGACCACGCGTGCATCAGTTGGCCAACGTGTTTCATTGAGAATTCGGCATGTGGATCTGGTCTAGCAGGAAGAGTGTCTTCATCAACACGCACGGCTTCAGATGCGAGCTGCAAAAGTTCATCTTGCAGGCCAGTCTCTGGATCGTTCACGACCAAGCCATCGTCTTGTTGTTGCCCGAGGCGTTGTACAGCTCGCGCCTCCAGATCAGCCGTCATGGTTGCAGCCACCGCTTCTTCTATGCCGTCTGCACTCGTCGCATTCACTGCCTCGTCGAACTGCATGTCCTCACCGTCGGCCGCATGGATTTCATCATCTTTCATCGCCTCCCACAGAGCGTCGAGGATATCGTCGTCATCGGCATTTGTAGGTGGGTCCCGGCGGTCACCCTCGCAACTGCGACGCCTTGCAGACCGAAAGTTTGCAGTCAGAATTGGATCCCCATCCAGCTTGCAGCGGTTCATGGACTCAAATATCCACTTCACCTGAACAAGCTGAAGCGCATGAACTTGGTAAGCAGAAAATGCTTGGCTGAAGAATTCTGCGGAAGCGGACTTCATCGAATGAGCACGCAGAGGCCTCACCATCTTCGCCACGCGGGTCGGATGATCGACGACGCAGTCAAATAACCACCATGTCCTCTTGTACCTCATGGAAGCAAACCAGCCTTGTAAAATTAAGCCATCGTTGTCCACAGCCACGATGATGTGTTTCGAAGATGGCTTCCTGCCCTCCAGGAGCTGCAGCATTCGAGAAGCGATGCGGGCGGCCCCGCGCCTGAGTTGCGCTTGTTCTTCAGATTCTGCAGCTCGAGCTCGATTGCCTGCTGGATCTGGATCCGCATCAGCCAGACGTGGGCCCTCATCTTCACGATGGGCTTCTGGTGCCTCGGGTGCTTGTAGGGGCAGGGGTTCGCGAAGCGATTCTGGACCTCCTTCAGGTGCGCGATCTTCGGGAGGTGGTGGTAATGGAATTGGCTCTTGTAGCTCATAGTCCTCACTCGCAGGCGGCGCTGCTGGCGCTGAAACCAACTGGTATCCTTGAACATCATCTGCGAATCTAGTTTTGTCCTGCAGGGCCTTCATGTTGTCCTCGTGATTCTTCGCGGACTCGTCCACCAGATCCTTCAATACTCCAGGAGGGATTGACTGTCGACGCGTTGTCTTCAAGACGGCGAGCTCCTTCTTGAGGTACAGTCTGGTTGAAAGTAATTCCAGGCCGATGGCGGGAGCCAGCTTGATGATAAACTTGATCATGGAGTTCATGCCTTCCACTGCCTGCGTGTCAACTGGGATCATGTGCACAATAACAGTCAGCAGCTTGAACAGCTCAGGGTGGATAGTACCATCTTGCTTAGTAACTTTGAGTTCGTCCTCGAAGCATTTAGCGATTTTCCAAGGAAGCTGAAGCTTCATATTTCGATCGTCCTCGTCCTTCTCCAGGTAATCAAGCATCTCAGTGGCCAGTGCTTTCCTCCGGTCGCAGCGCGTGTCTGCATCATTGAACACCATCCAAGCAATCTTCATGGGGAATTCATCGGAGATGGGCATGAACCTTATTTGAAAATCTGCTGCCTGTAACAGAATGCTCTCGACGCACCGTGCCCTCACCATTTCTATGTCCATGTTGCCGCATCGAGCGAACTCGAATACGTTCCCCCACAAGGCGTCGGAGTTGTATGTGCTGTCTTCGATCATGTCGTCGTAATTTTGAAATATCTCTGACACCTTGAAACAGGGCTGAACCTAAACGGTGTTTTTCGATTTCGTTTCGTTTTGTCTTCAATCCGCCTTTACCGCAAAACGAAGTCGAAACGAAAACGACCCACGAAGCCCACGAAATCGCCAAAACATCGTTTAGGTCCAGCCCTGCCTTGAAATATACCAGTTCTTGCAGCGTGGATGTGTATCCCAGGTCGAACACGCGATGTTTGTCCTCCTGGTGTCGTGCTGATCTCTTCTGGAACCAGTGCAACATGTGAGCCAGCGGGTCACCTGAATAGTACAGTATCGACATATCAACCCACCACTCGTATGATTGTATCGATGCAAGAGATTCCTTCGCCCATCTTCCCATTTTTGCTTGGTATTCTTCACCAGAAAGATCGTCAACGAATTCGCTTGAGGATGCAGGTGGCTTCGCGAACACATTTCTCCACACAGAGTTCAACTCCGCGTAGCCTGCTCCCAAAAAATGCTTCATTGTAGAATGTATTTGGCCAAATCGCCCACGTAAAGGTCTGGGCGGTATCCTGCCAGCGGCTTCGACTGCTCGCTCCTCCCCGAATAACAATGTCCACTCTTTCCGCAAAGCTGCTGCCTTGTGCGGCGAGCGCCAGCAATTCGCAACGACCGCAAGTTTCGAGTAGAGCGTCTCATGGAACCGGAGAGATCTTTTTGTGATCAGGTGCAGCTGGTGAATGAGACAATATTGCCAGATATCCCAGGCCCACGGCATATCACCGAGGACTTCTTTGACGATTCTTTTGGTCCCTTGCATGTCTGGCCCAGCGTCGCTGCCTCCATTGAATATTACTATGTGGCGATGTCCTTGAAGGAAGGACTGCAAGACAGCTTCAACGAACTGTTTCGACGTGACTGACTGCGCGCGCTCATCTTGATTATCTTCAGGTCCGCCAGCCTCAAACGCATCCCTGAGAGCATCTTCCAAAGTTCTCCATGTCCAAAGCCCGCATCTCTGCAACCTTTGATCCCACTCATGTTCTGTCTGGAGTGCCGTGCAACTCTCACTGACTGCGTAGACGTCTGGGTATGCGACAAACGAGTATTCGATTGGAGACTGGCCCAAGGGGATACAGCCGACGTTCCAGGTATCTGATGCGAATACTTTTGATGTCCTGTACACGTTCGAATTGGTTGCATCCCCTCGCACGACGTGGCATGTGAAGGAAACAGATGGTGCAGCCTGCTTGTCACAAACCATCTGCAAGTAGTCGACTATGCCTGAATACATCTCTTCGAATCCGCTGCGAGGCCTTAGGCACGTGAGATCGATGGCGCAAACACCCACTGATGGCCCAAGACGGCTCCAAGACACCCCAGACAGGCCCCCGCACCAAGACGCCCAAGTAGGCCCCCCAAGCCGCGCCAGAGAAGCCCCAAGCACCCAGCAGGCCACGAAGAGGACACCACGAGGACCAGCACCGACTTGCTTGTACGTGCTCCAGTCGTGCAGCCCGCGAAGCGAGAGGGATCTGTTCCGTGCTGCTGTGTACCTGGCTGACCGTGCAAGGTTCTCACAATGCGTGATTGACCATCGACTTGTTGCCACATCCAGAATGGCCGCGGTTGAAGTAGCACTGGCGTGCCCGAGATTTCTCTTGAAGCCTAACATGTACTTGCCCTCTATCGTTAGATTGTGCCGATAATTGTCCTCACGATGTGCATGTTTTAAATAATCATACGGTAGCTTCGCTTGTAGTTCAACCAATTGTTCATTCAAACTTGCGATCTCCACTTCCTGCCGGCGCACGGTCCGTTTTGCATCTGCTCGTTCTTTCTTGGCTCTATCCAGCTTCCTAGACATATCGACCATGGCGTTCTGGAGCTGTTCTCTGGACATATCCCGAATACTCGCCAGAACTAGTTGTCTGTTCTGTGGGGCTCGAGTTCGAACAGGCGCGGGGACAACTGCAAGATGATGAGAAACCTCTGGCGGCCCCAACCGTTCGTAAACTGCTCTGTCAATTTGCAGCCACGCCTGATCGTTCGCTGACCTCAATACATGGCCTTGACTTCGGAGAAACTCAACCAGATCCGTGATGAGAAAAGGGCCTCTGCCCGACCCCGCTGGTAAAGAACTCACCTGCCGTATCTCGCTGCTGCTGCTGCATGAAGTGATGACAAAATTCACGGCCGCAAGAAATTCTCTCACTCCGAGAAAGTGCACCCTGAAACCTCTGATCTCCACGCCAACGGCGCCAGAAAGGCGCAACGCCTGTGCAATGAGTTGCTCCATGTGACGGGCCCGACAGGCAAACCGAACGTATGTCGAACAAGTTTGAGCCAATATGGTTACATAATCACGTCAACGACAGCTGAAATTACGTTTCGTTTGAGGTATCATCATAAAACGCACGCGCATTTCAGGCGAGGAATTCCAGTAAGACCCCTAGGAACCTATCCTTAATCGAAGTTGCGGTCCGCCGACCCCATTAGATTTACCAGGCACGCAGGGACATGCCCCAAACGAAACGCAGGCTTGTTCAGAGTTTTAACGTGTTACAATGTCTTGGATGTGCCTTCTGTTTCATTTACATGTCGTTGAACATGCGCGCTGTGCGATATCGCGTATGCTTTGTTGGCGCTGTTTCGTTTGTAGATCCCGCCCAGATTCATTAGGCACGTGTGAGAAAACCCAGGCGCAGCGACGCACGCAGGACTCGGATAGTCTGGGGAGAAGCTCGGGTTCAGACCCGCACGTCTCGGAGAGTCTGGGGAAAAGCTCGTGTCCAGACTCTGCGGAGTGGGTGGGTTTGGGGGACCATTTATCACATCCCCACCCGGGCCCTGCAATCGCCGGGCGCAGGTGCCCCTCGAGCTCCGTGAGGTTAAAGTCCTTCAACTCGTCGGGGGCTTCCGCCCGGCCGGCCTCCTCCTCCTCCTCCTCCTCCTCCTCCTCCTCCTCCTCCTCCTCTTCCTCCCTCTCCTCCTCCTCCTCCTCCTCCTCCTCCTCCTCCTCCTCCTCCTCCTCCTCCTCCTCCTCCTCCTCCTCCTCCTCCGGGCGGGGAGCTCCCACCCTGGGGCCCACCTCTGAGGGCCCGGGGGCCCACTGGCGCAGAAGCCGACGCCGAGCGGGCAGGGCGAGGGCCCGCAGAGGGCCCAAGCGGGGCGGCTTGCCCGTGACCTCCTGAGGCGTGGCATCCTCGGCTCTTCCTGCAGTTCTGGCCTCGTCAACCTGCGGCGCCTCCTCCTTCGCTGCGCCGACGGTTGGGATCTCCTTGCGAGGAGCGGGGTTGTCCGCCGCGCATTCACCGGCCTTCTTGCCGCCGCCCTTGGCCCCTGGACCTGCCGCTGCCGACGCCTGGGGTGCGGGCGCGGAGGGGCTGGCCGCGGCTGCGGCCCCCCCAGCTCGCTTGGAAGCCTCCTCTGCTTCGTGCCCCTTCCGGAGCGCAGTCATCCTTTTGTCCGCTTCCTCGTGCGAGTTGATCCTCGGGCCCCCCTTTGGGCCTCCGCGCTCGACGAGTTGCATCTGCGCCGTCCGGTCCAGCAGGCCCACCTTGCCGATCGCCCGGAGGGAGTGCGGGCAGGAGGTGAGCTGACACCTTTCCCAGCTGGCACTGTGTCCGCAGAGGCTGCGGCACCTGGAAGGGGACTTGGGCCTGTGGTCGAGGCTCCCACCGTGCTCCTTTCTGGTCCGGGCCTGCCCAGAGAGCCCGGCGCTGCCCTTGCTCAGGAGGGGAGAAAACACGCAGACACAATTAATCGTCGACTCACAGGAAAATATAGGAAAACATGGGACGTGGGGGTGAAGACAAAAACCCAGAAAATATGGGAAAATAGGGGGGCTATTTTGATCTGTGTGTATATTCATTTGTGTGTCCCAGGGCCCCTTCACTTGCCGCCTCCTCCTCCCCCTGCCGCGCTGCCGCTTCCTCCTCCGGCTGCTCCCCCGACGCCTCCCGAGCCTGCCTGAGTGGCGTCCGGCTGCTGGCTGCGCTGGGTGAGGCGGAGCGGCCGCGGAGCGGGGCGCCGCCTGCCGTCGTGACCGCTGGAGCTTGCCGTGGTGCCCGACCAGGATGTCCGGCATGAAGTACTGATTGGGCACGCCCAGGTACTCCAGATTTCGTAACAAAGGGAGGGGGGTCTCATTTCGGGGGGGGTCTCTTCCAGGCTATCTTGGAGGGCCTGGGGGGGTCTGGGGACGATGTTTTGGAGGGTTCTCCCACGGTGGAGGTCTGAAATGGCTTGTCTTGGAGGGTCCAGACCCCCTCCCTTTTATTACGAAATCTGGAGTACTGATCGGGCACGCCCAGGTAGTGCGTCCTGGGCATCTTCGGCCGCGGCCCCGCGTTCTCGGCGCTACTCGGAGGCTTGCACACGAAGCGAATCCTATGCCACGTCGGGCTCTCGCCCCCCCCTGAGTTCCAGCATCTTGGCCCTCTTCATCCGCAGCTCCTCGCGCCGCCTGCCTCTTGGCTCCGCCCAGATGCCATGTGTGACGTTGGGGGGCCACGCCTAGTCGGCCTCGTCGTTCATCTTCAGCAGCTGCTCCGCTGCCTTGACCTGCTGGTCGTAGCGCTCTCGCCCGTAGTAGCCCGCCCACCCTCGAGCTTCCCGCTGGCGTCTTGGAGCCGATGCTGCGGAGTGAACTCGTGTCGAGGTCGCGCCTCGAGGAGGAGGAGGAGGAGGAGGAGGAGGAGGATGAGGGGGAGGAGGAGGAGGAGGAGGAGGAGGAGGAGGAGGAGGAGGAGGAGGTTGGCGTCGCGAACTTGCCCGTGTCCGCCCCCGACGTCTTCGGGAAGCCCGCGCAGCTGAGGCAGCAGCCCGGGAGACTGATGCGGTCCTGCCCTCCATGCTGGAAGGCTGCG